TGATCAGTGCGGAGCCACACGTGTAGGCCCGAATTGCCTTTAAGGCGGCCCGACTGTCTGTGAAAATGTTTATGGATGCACCTTTTTGTCCCTTCTGTAGGTTCAAAGCGGTGCAGAAGTTTATAGCAAGAACTTCTGCTTGGAAAATTGTTAAGTCCGAGCTGAGGGGCAATTTGATGTGGCTATTTGGTCCACTGATGCCCATGCCTACTCCAGATCTTACTGTCTTTGAAGCATCGGTGTACCAGGCTAGGGCTCCTCTTTTTAGTTGAGGCCCAATCATCCCTGCTACTAAATATGACCTTATACGGTTGGTTGAAATTGTATTCCGTCGGTATAAGGTCCGTTTTAATTTCAATCAGGTGATTTAGACATGGGTCTTTGAGGATCTCGAGGTGTCCTCTGAGATTACCCTGCATCAACTTGAGTGAAGAAACTGTTTTCAGTGATAAGGCACTTAAGGCTGCCTCCCTTTGTATATATATGTGGAGCGGTGTGAGACCGAGTAGGGCTTCCAAAGCAGCCGTCGGACAGGATCTCATTGCACCCGTTATGTTAAGACATGCTAACCGCTGGATTTGTGCCAGCTGTTGTTGAGCTGTCTTATGTTTTGTTTTTGGGCACCAAACCAATGAGGCGTAGGCGACCATGGGTCTGATTATTGCTACGTAGGCCCAATGAGCCATTCGTGGTTTGAGACCCCAGTTCCTTCCTAGGAGCCTGCGGCAGATCAACCACCAAGAATCAACCAAGAAGGCTAACGTAATTATGTTGGGTTTCTTAATTCGCAGTAAACATTTACCAGCTTTAATCAGAACACTATAAGTTCAAGCTTTTATAATTTCAGCCTATTTCCCATATGTAGCGATGTACAGTAACACTCCAGTGTTGCTTCATAGTACATATACAGTGTGATAATTAATTATCGTACCCGACGTCATCATTGTAAGTATGCAACCAATATCACAGTATTTTTATTGCAATACGCGATTTGCGTATGGTGCGCATTGCACTGTGATACGTAGACCACGTTTCATGTATTTAGGAGGAAAACCTTTTCGTCTCGTACTGGTGTTGTAATATTTCTGGAGATATAGTTCATAAACCTGCCAACACATTATGCCGTTTTAAATAGAGGAAAACGTTTGTTAATTTTGTAAAGACAAAGAAACACCGTAAATCGCAATGTTCACCCCTGCTAATATTACCGGCAACCCACACACACACATACAAAACTCATCGAGGTATCTCGTATACATGTCCGGGGTTGGCCCGAAACCGACGACAATCGAGCCGTGACCTCCGACCTCGGGCCCATAATGACCCGTTGACGGCCGCCGAACCGAAAGCCTCCGCCCCATCTCTCACGTCGTAATTCGTAATTTACGGTGTGCAGATCGGGCGCGTCCTCTACAAATAAGTCATTAGAGACGATCATTTTGGTTCCTTTCAATCTTTCTTTTTCGTTTTGTTTTCTCTTTCTTTTAAGAGAGGGTTCGACTAATTGCACCTTCGTTTCGGCATTTCTGGAATGCGCCCGAGGGAAGTTTTTTGGTTTATGATCGACGACGGTGTGGGAATCGATCCTTGGGTTCAGGTTCTATTGGTGACGATTTTATTTATGTGATATGTTTTCTTTTTTCCGGTTACATCATCGCTGGTAATTTATTAACAACACCTCACGCCCATGAAGATATTCTTATTTCAACCATTTATGATCACGTGTGTATTTAGCCAAGTTTGAGTTATAAAGTTTTGCTAGGAAGTTTGTCTTGTGGTAGGGTTCGAAGGGAGGGTATATACAAAGCAGCGTGGAGTGGCGTTGATCGGGCGCCGTCAGAGTCAGAAAGGCAAGAGTAATGCGTATAAAACCCTTCATTAGGGCCCCACGTACAGCAGCACTTCACCGGCAGACGGCACGTGCCGTTCCTGCGGAAGACAGCGAGTCCACGTTGTCGTCCGCCCATCTCGTTTCCTCTCTGATGATGATGATGATGATACGCCCTCGCAATCAATGGACTAAAGCTTTAATTATTATCTCTAAACCATACAAGTTTGTAACAAAAATTAGACCTTATTTTAAGCGCCTTAAAAAAAATGAAACTCTTTTATGTGAACTGAAAGTGAAGAATATTCTTCTTAAAGCATTGAGAATGTATCTTCACGAACTGTGAATTTATCATCGCCAGGTGCAATAATAATCCTCCATGAGTTCAAGTCCGCCCCTGCTCCCCCGGTAATAAATAGTGTACATTTTCGGTCGGAAATTAGGTCCTCCATCTTTATTGCCTGCCAACGGAACGGATAAAAAACCGATATGAGTCGAGGACGCATTGTCCCGAGCGGGATCCCCGCTGCGTTTTCGTCGCGGGGCCCCCCGTTTTTTTTCGGGGGGGCTCTCGGCCCTTGGTCCGAACCTGTCTCTTGAACGAATATTTACTGATTTATTGTTTCATTTGTGGCGGAGGAAACGGGAGAAAATAACCATAACAATTATATTGGGCCACAATCTTAGGAAAGTTATTGATATGCGAAGAAAAAAAAATTCTCTTGAAATCACGCCACCATCGCCATTTTTGTACCATGCTCGAGAATATAGTGGGCCTATTACGCGGTTCATTAAGCGAAGCTCTCCCGGCGCTGCCACGAAAGACCATATGTTACAAGAAGCTCATATCGGGGGCTACTCTTTTCCCTCCTTGGTGAAGAGAGATTCAAAAAGAGAGAAGAGACGGAGGAGGATGAGAACCGGGGGAAGGACGATTTATCGGCCAATTTCTCCGGCTCCGAGTCGGACACGCAATCACCGCCACCACAACACGCGGCGCTACAAGTGGGACAGCCCCAAAGCGAAAACGAAGACAAGAAGAGAGCAAAAAAGTTTAAGGATTGATCCATACTAGAATTGCACGCAAAGAAAATTGTCTAAAACATTTAATACGATAAATTCTTGAAACACACCACCCTCAACCGTAATTAGTGAAATATGTTAATATCGAACCACATTCCATGAATTGTTACCGAAGTTTTTCCGTGATCCTTCCTCGTGCGAGCGTTATTTATTGGCCGAGATGGTCCTCGGAGGTGCTTTACGATGGTTCTTGGATGATTTATGGTGGCCAGACGAACGAATTTGGACAGCTAAACGGTTCGGGATGTAAATTTACGTCGTAATAGGACGAGTCTATCCCATGGCAATAAGGTTGAGAACTATAAGAATGCGTCTGTAACTATTATTTATCTTTTTTTCATGTTATGTTAACAATCAAAGAAAATTTATTTATTCTTACAATTAAATAATCTTACGCTTAACATTGAAGTTAGAATCCAATTATTATTAGTATTCAATATAAAAAATTGATTTTCCAAAACGATCCATCACGAACTGTTTTAAAAGGTTCTAGAGAAAAATAACAAACAGCAATTATCTGGAAGGTATATAATTACTATAATCTAATAAGTATCCTGGTTATTAGCCGGGCTTCCACACGCCCACAGTCCCGCAGGGCTGCCGACGCTGAGGTCTCGGATAAATTGAAACGCCACGGGCGCCATAAATAATCTGCGGAATTTAAAACTACACATTTCATGCCTGATTATAATGGGCGGCCGGTGAGACGAGGGCCCCTGAAGCTCGTCGAGCCGCCCCCGACGTCTAATTAAGCATTTACGGTGTGATTTTGGACCAACCCATTACCACACTTACAAGGAATGGATTCTCAGTGTCAAATATAGACAAATTTTGAAATTTGATATAAACATAAAGGGTATTGAATTATTTACTTTAAAGAGGTGAAACAATCCTTTATACAGGATGATTCTCAACCTATACGCATAAAGTTGGGGATTTATTCATCATGACAAGTAATGACTAATAGGCGATACGAATCTATCGCTAAAGATAAAATGTATTTGGATAACAATGGTTTATCCACTGTTCAGAAACCTACAAAAATCTTGGCTTCAACTGGACGAAAACAAGTTGGATCCTTGACTAGTGCTAAACGTGGTCAATATGTTGCACGAGTAGAAAAAATACAAAGGAAGATCTGTTTGATAAAGCACCTCCCGAATCCTTGGGTATGTGTCAAGAGTCATTTTTGTAAGCATGCACATTCAATGCTTTCCAGAGAAAGAAGTTCTTCTGCTATGTCATAACACTGTGTCGATAACATGACAAGCTGTGTCATAACATCATTCTTGTGTGTTTTTCTGCATATTGTATACACAGGATGCAACCGCTTGATGTCAACTATTTTGGACCTCTTAAAACTATAATAAAGCTTGCGCCACCTGGTTCAAAGATTCAATTTATTTTCTTGAACTGTACCAAATACTGTAAGATTTACTTTTTCCAATTTTCTCGCATATTAGTTGTAACAAAAGCATCGGTCACATTTTTCCCTGATCCTCCTAACCCCTTTATCATATCCAAGGCAACACGCTACCCATGACTGCGTTCTTGTCTCAGATGTATGTTTAGTAATTATATACCAGGAGTGTAATAATAATAATAATAATAATTTACTTTATTGCCCAACAAAGATCAATTACAGGACAATATTACAAGAAAAAGAAAATAAGAAATAACACATGCCATAAAACAAATATAATTCACATAAACACTCTTACACTATTATTGATTGTTAGTTAGCTTACACATCCTCTGCACCTACCTGGGAGTTGGCTAAAACATTGGATCTGCAATTCCTCAAATAAAACTGATTTGTACTACGTGTTGCACGCGTAGGCACCGCGAAAATGATCCGCGACAACAACCAACCACAATCCAATTCACCTTGCACTAACTTCTGCAAAAACTTGATGCACTGGTCATCTCTTCTTACGTCTAGTGCAGAAAAATTGTGATGCCGCAGCAGGGATGCGTAATCCATTCCACGATCCGGGTCCAGGCGTAGAGACAAATATTTGAGAAATCTCCTCTGAATTCTCTCCAATATAAGTCTATGACACACATAATGTGGCGACCAACTTACAGAGCCATATTCCAATTTGGACAATACAAAGGTCGAAAATAGGGTCTTGTACACACCGATATCAGAAAAAGCACGCGAGCTGCGCAAAACGAAACCAAGCATCCTCGCTGCAGAAGATGCAATATTTTCGATGTGAGGTACAAAAGACAATTTGCGGTCAAAAGTTTCTCCCAGATCCTTGATTGTAGATAATTTCTCAAGAAGAACACCTTCTATATAATAAGAAGATGGAAGAGGAGACAGCTTGCGTGTAAAACTAACTGCACCGCACTTATTGGCATTAATCTTTAGCTGATAACGGTTACACCATTCCACCAAGACGTCCAAATCCGACTGAAGACTGACAACATCACGGTCCGCAAAAATAGGTCGGAATAGTTTCAGATCATCCGCATAAGCTAGTACGCTTGATGAAAATTTGTCTAGAAGGTCATTCAAGAAGATAACAAATAGTAGGGGGCCTAGATTTGAGCCCTGAGGAACACCAGACCTAGCCGTAAACTCCATAGACGCATAACCGTTGTAGTACACATAATTTATACGACCCGATAGGTAAGAGGCAAATAGTTTCATAAACTTAGGAGATAAGCCAAAAGCACTAAGTTTATACAAGAGGACGTCATGATGAATCATGTCGAATGCTTTAGAAAAATCAGTGTATACCACATCTACCTGACCGCCCCTATCCAAAGATTCACAAATTACCTCAGTAACCACCGCGAGGTTGGTAATGGTCGAACGACGCTTGATAAACCCATGCTGATATGGTGACACAAATGACTGAACCTGTGGATAAATCATCTTGTAAATAATCTGTTCAAATACCTTAGCGAAATTGGACAATAACGATATTGGTCGATAATCAGTAATGTTGGTACGTTCGCCATGCTTGAATACAGGAACAATGCGTGAGCGCTTCCAAAGTTTAGGAAACGAGCAAGTGCTTAAGGATAGGTTAATTATTAAATGAAGCGGAACTGCAAAAACTGCACAGCAATCACGAATGAAAAATGCAGGAAGATCATCATCACCAGCAGTAAATTTATTAGGTAACCTTTTTAGGAAATGAAGAACCTCTTCTTCGGTGACATCGGCAACAAATACTGGAGGATACGTAGAGTGTACATCAACCATGTTATAAGCAGAGACACCAGAATATACTCCAGAGAATTGATCTGCAAAAGCATTAACTATTTTTTCAGGATCAGTGTAGGTGGACTTATCACGCATCATTTTTCCAGGAAGTCGAGAGGTCGTTGTTTTCTGTCTTATATAATTCCAAAAGTTACGGGGATCAGAACTAAGCGATTGTTCAGCACTAATAGTAAAGGAAGTATACGCATCAGAGATTTTCTGTTTAGTCAAACATCTCAGTCTTTTATATTCCGCTGAATAGAAAGCACTATTGCTTCTCCTCCACTTCCTCCTATAATACTCTTTCAACTTTAATAGCCGCTTAATTTCTGGGGTGTACCAAATAGGGTATGAGGATCCCCGACTCAATCTCTTAGGAACAAATAAATCCAAAATCTCATACAACTTTTTATAAAAAGCTCGCAAAGCATCATCCGCATTAACCTCCACATTTAGAAAAGACCAATCCGTGTAAAGTAGTTTATCATACATGCCAGGAAAGTTGGCTCTTCGAAAATTATATCGACCACCCAAAGACGGAAAGTTCGGCAAACCATCATTTGCCGTCAGTAAATTCATTGTAATATCTAAGGCAGGATGGTACTGATCCTCGTAGACGAAGGGACAATCATCATGAACAAGATCAAACTGATGGTCAGTATTTGTCAGAACCAAATCCAATAGACGATTGTCACAGTTCAGTACATGATTGAGTTGGCGAAGGTCCAGAAAATCACAAAAGTTACGAAATAACTCCGTTTTTCCACATTTGGTTGACATACCAGGCGCCTTAATATATTCAGGCAAATTAAAATCACCAAGGATAAGGACAGGATAATTCAAAACTTTATGTTCTAGGGCGTAATGTTAGAAGAAATATAGTAGCGTCCTGCAATAATTTCAACTCACCCTGTATATTAATTCTTTTATCTGGATAAGTGTAATTATTATTAACCAAGAACCGATTTATTGTCAATTCACTTTTTTGACACTCAATCAAGATAAACACGTAAAAATATTTATATTATTGCCATCTTTTCGGGGGAGTTGTTTGGAATCCTTTTCTCTCTTTCTCAATCACGAAACCACAAGAGCATTGTGTGGAGAGAGAACGTAATTCCCAATCCCCCTGATCGGATCGCCGAATCGTCTTCGGTTCTTCTCTTATCTTTTTGAACATCGTCCACGGTCAAAGTTTCATTCCTGCAGCGTCATTTGACATCTGTTTATTTGGAGATACAAAACCACATAGCTCTCCCGTATCAAAAAAACTTCAAAATAAGATTAAAGTTTTAATATTGTATGAAATTTAAATATAAAATATGATGGAAATGGATTGTGGATAGAAAAAAAGTGGGGATAATGATAAAAATGATGGTCGTGCGGTCGTTCTTCTTATGCTGTAGTTGAAGGCTGCATGCACGGCGTGATTTAAATCAAACACGGGCCGACACGGCGTAAAGGGACAGAAATTGAAATGCGCCACGGCCGACCGACCGTGGAAGTCGTGTATACGGTTTTCCGCCACAGCTACACTACGGAGGAGAGAAGGCAACCTCATGAATAATTTGTCCACGGGAACCGTCTCTCCGACAAATGACAGACTAATTCGATGCGTTCCAACTTTGTTATTAATCGAAATAGAACCGTTTTAAAACAAAAAAATTATTTAAATTCATATTAATAATTTTGATATTGATTTGTGCAAATCCCATCTTACTAGAAAATCCTTAAATTCTTTAAAATGTGAAGTTATCATGTTTAAAATAGTAGATTTCGATCTTGAAACACGGGCTACGCCGTAAACACGTGTAAACGTGAATAAGGCGAAGATGAGAAAGAAAGAAGGGAAAGAAGAAAGATTGAGGCGCGTAGGAACCGCATTCTTGGGACGTCCTTTTTTATATCCCGCGGGTTCGGTGGAGAGATGTCGTCCCCCGAGGGCTAAGAAAGAAGTAGAAGAAGAAGAACCGTGGTTTCCTTGGTCGCCGCGCGCTGCTCGTTCGTGCCGTATTAATTCGATTGTATTTTATTATGACGTCGTCCGATAAATTTGGACGCGGGTCACCCGAAAAATTCCGTGGCTCCGGTGAATAGACGGCGCCAGGGAGGCCCCGGACCGGCGCCAAAACTCCCGATGGGGCTGTCAACTCATGAAAACGAGAAAAAGAAAAAAGAAGTAAAACGAAAATCCGGTTTTTCTAATTGCGCCAGCCTCACACTACACACACACACATGTTACAATAAGAAGAAAAAGGAGGCCCGTAAAAACTAAACTGGATGCGACGAAATTTTGAGAACGAAAAACGACCGATTACTTTTGACTCTAATTGTCCACAAATTGAATTTAAGATGAAATAAATTATTCTAGTTTATATCGAACAGATATGAACTGAAAAAGATGTCAAGAAAAAATAACACTAATAATATTTTTTGTTCTTCTGGAACGTTATATTACAACAATTAGTTTTACTAGTTTAGCCGTCTTAAGAAAAATATATAACAATCTAACGATAAATAACAACTAAAACTAACACCAGCATTAGAACAAACAGTAGACTTAGAACTAGAAACATTTGGGTTTAGCCTCACGTCTCTTAAGACGACTATACCCGAATGTTTCTGATTTAGGTCTAGTATTAGTTACCCGTGCGACAAACTCCCAGCAACAAACTTTTACCCCTAATTTCCTATCTACTTTCTTAACTGATATCTTCCTTATAATTAGGGATAGCGAAAAACTAAATGCACCACTTAAAAGCTTGAATCTTTCTCTATCTAAAACCGGGGTTTCGTCTGCCGATAAGTTGATATTAAGATCAACAAAAAATGAAGAACTCATATAAGAAAGTTATCGACCCCAACAGGGTTTAAGAATGGCTAAAACGTGTTAATTTAGCAGTTTTTGGCCAAAAATGTACGTGTGCAAACGTGTGATTGCCGCGTGTTATACATCACTAGAAAGAGCAGGAAATTTCCGATAAGATAGATATGGTTCTAGAGTTTTCTCCTGCTCATATAAGAAAGTTATCGACCCGAACAGGGTTTAAGAATGGCTAAAACGTGTGAATTTAGCAGTTTTTGGCCAAAAATGTACGTGTGCAAGCGCGTGATCGCCGCGTGTTATACATCACTAGAAAGAGCAGGAAATTTCCGATAAGATAGATATGGTTCTAGAGTTTTCTCCTGCTCATATAAGAAAGTTATCGACCCGAACAAGGTTTAAGAATGGCTAAAACGTGTGAATTTAGCAGTTTTTGGCCAAAAATGTACGTGTGCAAGCGCGTGATCGCCGCGTGTTATACACCACTAGAAAGAGCAGAAAATTTTCAATAAGATAGATATGTTTCTATAGTTTTCTCCCTATCAAATAAGAAAGTTGTTTAGAGGAAGAGTATTTAAGCGTTTCTGCGTGTAGGGATGGACATTAAGGGTGATTTAAGCATGACGCCGATAGATATTGACCGACGAAAACCCGGATTAAGATAGCTGAAGGAGCGCCCTTTCTGACTGTGATAACAGTTTTTTAAAATTCGGTTTCGTAACAATTGCACAAGGCCTTGAAGTTTGGTAATTTTGAGCTATTTTAAGTACAGCGCGGTGTTCTTCATTTTTTATTGATCTTAATATCAACTTATCGGCAGACGAAAACCCGGTTTTAGATAGAGAAAGATTCAAGCTTTCAAGTGGTGCATTTAGTTTTTCGCTATCCCTAATTATAAGGAAGATATCAGCTAAGAAAGTAGATAGGAAATTACGGGTAAAAGTTTGTTGCTGGGAGGTTTGTTGCTATCGTCGCACGGGTGTATTAGTTCCAGTAATGGGCGTTGGGTAAATACCCGGCGGGTAGGTATTTAAAAAATAGGTATTTATCCGGGTATTTACCCCAGCCCAGGGTAAATACCCAAACAGTTCCTACATATAAAAATGATACAAGTAAAAATATAACGGATTCGGAAAAAAATGAAAAGGTAGATGATGAAATAGACATTGAAGACGAGGAATTGTCAACGATCGAAGACGTATTATCATCAGACGAATCTGTCGTAATTGAGATTATCAAGCTATTATGATTAAAACTTAATATATTATTTCGTTCAGCATCAGTTTCATCTCTCTAAGGCTATCCGAAATAAGGACCATAAAATCCGCGTAGCGCAAATTATGTAAGTATTTGCCATCAATATTTATGCGTTTTTGGGTCCAATCCAGTTGTTTAAATGCACTCTCCAAGACTGTGAAGAACAATTTGGGTTCAACATTGTATCGCCTTGTCTTACCCCACGACCAATGGGTATTTTGTCAGTACTTTCATGCAATTTTACCGTCATTGTAGCATTCTTGTAAATGTTATAAATAAGTTTGGTGCATCGATAATCGACTCTGCATTCTTGAAGTGCTTGCAAAACTGCCATCAACTCAATTTGAATAAAATTTTATAAATACCTCTAAATACCCATCTTGGGTAAATACCTCTGTGTATATATCCAGGGAATTTTTCTTTGAAAATAAATACCCGAGTATTTAACAACACTGATTAGTTCTAGTACTAGTGTTACCTTTAGTTTTAGTTGTTATTCAGCGCTAGATTGTTGTATATTGTCAAATTTCCATATAACTTTCTCTGGTGATCAAAAACCCAAGAGTAGCAAGAATAAATGTATAAACCATAGATGCGAAGAAGATATTTAGTAAGAAAGATTGTTTTTGGTTTTGCAAAGTAATTTCCATGAATAAATTCTGAAAGTGAATCAATTTAGGTCATATTTAGGGACCGGATGTCTACTTCGTTATAGAGTACCTACAAAAACCCGTCAGAATCTCAAACTAAACGGGACACAAAGCAGAAACGGCGTTGTAATACCGAAATTGAGCAGAACGAGCACGTGTCCGCCGCTTCATCTCGATCGTTTATTTTCTTACGTGCCCGGGGAATTTCGGTCTCTCCATTTAGTTTACGTTTTATACATCAAACGCCTCTTTCTACGGCGCACTGTTGAGTTTCAAACCGTACTGTACCTTTCCCAAAAGGTTTTATAAGGCGAATTAAATTTGAAAGTGTAAAGTTTTGCGAAAAAATCTTTTTAAGTTAATTAAGTCGGTGATTTTCTGGAATGTTTGGTCTAGACCAGGTGTGGTCGAAACCACGTGGCCTGTGCGCAGATTGCTATCTTTTCGGTTTGATCCAATCTAAAAACTGTTGGGTAACAAAAGGGATCCTTAGAAAACGATACCTCGGTGATGTCAAAAAGATGTCAAAAGAACTAAAAACCATTAATTATTATATTCTTTTTGCCATTTAAAACTTTTTTTTTAATATTTCTTTTTTGTACATTATCGGGAAAAAATATTGTTGACGGAAAATGGTTTTTCTAATATAGGTTGTGGAAAATTAAGTCGGTTCCCTTCACTTCTCTTTGATCTCGAAACACACTTAGTGCCCGCTGCGAAACGTAGAGAGGGCGCTTATTGCTGGGAAAGACGCGTGTACGGGATAATGTGTCCCGGGAAAGTAAGTGGAAGGGAATAAATAATATCGTTCTCTTGTATTTATAAAGGAAAGATTTTATGTGCCCACTGTATCGGCCGCCCCCACAGATTTTTCCATCCGGTAGTAGATACACCCCTCCACTTTATTACCCCGATGCCGACGTAACTTGCAAGATACAAAAAAAATGGTATGCTATTGACAGCAGGAAATGAAAATCAAACTTAAGTAGAAAGATTTTTTTTCAACGTCTTAAAAAAAAAATAAAATAAAAAGTAAAACTAAAATAAAATCATTTAAAAGGTAGAGTTATGAGGATCCCACGAACATACCGCAATAACTCAACTGGTTATCTTTCATTTCCATCGGTATCAGATAATATTTCGACGGCATGAATGACAAACCGGCCGAGTACACTTTTTCTCGTTTCAATTCTTCTGAATGGTCAAACTACA